CTCTACCCCCTTAGATACTCGTATACTAGACCTTCTCACTGACAGCTATTGTTAATAGTAAGAGAGCCCACTGCAAATTACGACCGCCATCTGATAAAATAAAATATTCTCCAAAGACATGTAACAACATTGTACTTTACCAAATTGCTCCTGTGCCAATCTGTAATCTAGAGCAAAGTGGTTAAAAAACAATTATTTTATATACAAAAAATTACATGAGACATGACAGCGATAATTTTGTTTTCTCTGAAAATGACAATCCTAATTCATTGTGAACCTAGCTTTTAAACCTGAATTATTATTATTTTACCTAACTTTGGCAGAGATAGTCAATAATAATTATGAACTCTTGTTAGACAATTCTTTTAAACTATAATCATAGTAGTTTTTTTGTCGTTTCTATGAGAACCTGTAAAAACGTATCAATAGGCATACAAATAAATTCTTAAATCAGCAAAAATTGATTCATATTTTTAATGATTTTTACCTACTAATCGTGTGTAGATGTTTTTGTGCGATGTTAAGAGGAAGAAAATGTTTCCCGTTAACGATATATATCAAGATATATTTGAATATGTTATTATCTGGAAAACTTTAAGGGCAAACAAAATTAGCGCTGTCATGCCTTATGTGATTTTTTTAATATAAAATATATATTTTTTTAAACACTTTGCTCAGGATTGAGATTGTCACAGGTGTCATTCGGTAAAGTACAATGTTTTTACAAGCTTTTGGGGTATATTTCATTATCAGATGGCAGTAAAAGTTTACAGTGGGCTCTTGGGCTATTATGATTTGATTCCGTATGCGCCAGGGATACAAATCCGAGTTGCGCAATGTATAAACTAGAACATTGAGATCAAAAGTGCCGACGCAGAGTGAGCGAACTGATTCTTTAGCTATAAACTGTGACTATACCTTCAACAACATTGTTTCTTCATAGCTGCAAATCATACAGAATATTAATATTTTCTTTTTAAATCTTTTTAGAGTTGGCTACTAGATTTACGCAATTTAAACTGATTTGTCTAAAACATGTTCTTTGATAAATTTATTAAGATTGATATAACCGAAAAGTACCATAATTCTATCCAGTCGTTCTTAATTGAAGTTAGTCTATATGGTTCTACCTCTAAAGAAGTAATACTGCACACACGTATACTTCATTCTCTTCGTCTTATTTAAAAATAATGTCATTTCTTGTTTCAAATCATTCAATAAATGAAAGCGTCGAGCAATCGTAGAGGATATGCTCGATGGTCTCATCTTCTTGTTCGCATCCTCTGCAGAATGCGGATTCTGACAGCCCCATGATATGGAGATACTTCCGTACTTGGCAATTACTAGTCAGAATGCTTGTGACTAGGCGCAGATTCTGTGTACTACTAATCAAGTATTTGTTTGCTGCAGTGTTATCAGGAAGGGAATATTCTTTAGTTAGGTCTGTCATTATCGATTTTGTCAGGCCAATGGAAGGGCCAGGTCCAAACAGTATTTGGTTGGCTGCTTTCTTGGCCAGTGAATCATCAAGACGGTTACCTTTCGATGTGGCGTGACCATTGATCCATCTTAAGGTGTCCATATTGTGAATGGATACTTCGGCTAAAACTTCGTGACATTCTAATACTACCCCTGAATAAATTCGTGGTCTGTTCGGGTGAGATTCTGTCTAGTCATAGTCAAGTATTTGTTTGCTGCAGTGTTGTCAGGATAACTTAAGAGCTCCCTGGCAACTCTGCAGTTTATTGTTTCATCCCTTTTTTCCTTGAAATTCACAAGGAAATGTTCTTTGATTAGGTCTGTCACTGCCGATTTTGTCAGGCCAATAGGAGGGCCAGGTCCAAAAAGTATTTGGTTGGCTACTTTTTTGGCTAGTGACTCACTACCTTTAGATGTGGCGTGACCTGTAATCCATCTTAAGGTGACCACGTTGTTGATGGATGCTTCGGCCAAAGCTTCGTGACATGCTAGTACTAACCCTGAATAAATTCGTGGTCTGTTCAGGGTGAGTAGTGCTTGTCTGCTATCTGTATAGATGAGCATGTTCCTTCCAGTGATATTGTTTCTGGTGATTGCTTTTGCTGCTATGAGAATCCCTGTGAGCTTTGTTTGAACTACACTGGCACTATTGCTCACAGCCCATTTTGTGTTATGCTTTAAGGATCTGGAGTATATTTCACATCCTGTGCTTTGTTTTATTTTAGAACCGTTGGTGTAGATATGAATCGTACCTGCCACTTCCAGCTTTTCTATTTGTTCGGTCACAACTTTATATGGCTTATGGAAGATATATCTCGGTGAGATGAAGTCCATGTTCGCTTAAAGCATTGAGAGCCTATCGAGCGCCTCCTGCCAAAAGCCACATCTCTCCTCACCAGATCCTACATCAGGTTCTATTCCAAGCGTGCGGAGGCATGTTATTGTCTTCAGAGTAACCTCCTTGATTTAAATATCTAGGGAAGTGAGACTAAGAATGACTTCCATGGATCTGGTCGGTGTTGTCTCCATGGCTCCTGTTATGTTGAGACATGCTGTTCTTTGAATTTGTTCTAGTTTACGGACAGCTGTCAATTTTTGGGTTTTCGCTACCCAGACAACTGTACCGTATGTAAGCATAGGTCTTATGATAGCAGTGTAAGTTAGGGTGACCAGACATCAGGATAAAGCCGGACATGTCCGGCTTTTTCGCTTAAATGAAAACGTCAGGCCGGCTTTTTGTCGTGTCCGGCTTTTCATCAATCGAAAATTCTAAATAACTAGAAACGCATATTATCATTATTCCTGGTTCCGACTTTCTCAAGCTGGCAAGTGCGCAGTGGACCAAAGAAAGAAACCGTTTATCTATCTATCGAATCAATAAAAAGCCTCATAATGTTAAAATTTAATTGAAAACGTCTTGTGAGGAATGTTATAATTATTTGATGGACAATCCCAATATTTTAAAAGAAATTGGTTCTTCTGAAAAGTATAAGTAGTTTTTACCTAAGTAGAAATTGTTACATTTTTTTATATACATATATTTGTTAAATGTCAGGTTTTTTTATTAAAAATCAAGCTTTTTTTGTCCTGGTTGTCCTACTTTTCTGCAAATAAATCTGGTCACTCTATGTAAGTCCATGCGACGACTCTGGGGGAGAAACCACAGGTGCACCCCACAGTTCGACGGCATTGTTTATAAGCAATGTATGCGCTTTTGACTCTGTTTCCTAAATGCGAGTTCCATGTTAACTTGCTATCAAAGGTGCATAATGATCAGGTCATCTGCAAATGCTTTTGTGTAGTTATTGTCATTATTTAGGCAGCAGATGAGGGTGTCGAGGACCATGTTCTACAGTAGAAGTGATAGTACCCCTCCCTGTGGACATGCCCTCGCAACCAAGCCTCTTATATTCACATATTCTACACTGTTATGTATCCACTCACTAACCATCTGTGGAAGATTCCTATTAGTATTATCTTGGGGAAAGTGGTTTTATCAAAAGCACCATGATTTCTGCATGAATATGATTTCAAAAGCTTCTCCTTACTATTGATAAATATGAGGTCATACAATTTTAGGAAAGCTCGGTATGATTAATAACCAGTTGCATTCTTTTAGTACATAATTTATTTTTCTTACGTATAAACTGAAATATCTCAGTTGATATTCTCTGATTGATTAGTACATTGTATAAGGCTGAAGCGCATATGCTGGGGCGAATATGTTGGGCGCAACTACGGGTAGGGGGGTAATGGCGATAAGTGCCCTCCGAGAATTTTTAACATAACTTTTTATAGGTACTAAAATACTAAAATGTATTATTATCAAAAATAAAGTTTTAAATATTACCACTACACCCCAAGCAGTGGGTGTTCGTTTAGTCAATTGGTCTTCATTCAGGCAATGGGCCCTTAAAAAGAACCTCATACCCGAAATATGTGGACAGAGGTCCTTTCTTTCAATATGGACTTTTTATTTCGCACTAGTTGCTAAGGAAACTAGTGCAGAATAAGTATATTATAAGTTAACTATCATCAAAGATACGTCTTTAACTAAATTTTGACACTTGGTTTTGGGTTACTTTATTGAAGCGAATTTTAAGATAATTTAACTTGGAAATTAGTGACAGTAAGCTATAATTTACACCTTCGAATATTATAGAATCAGCAAATAATACGTGCGAAAATTTAATACCGGAAAAGAATATTCAAATTGCAAATAATAATTAACTGTTCGTTCAATGGCGACAAAAACACAAAACAAACTTATTTTCCGAAAATGGCTTTAAACCTATACACATTAATTTGGGCAATGATAGCTGAGGACCAATAAAGATTAAGTAATAGTGAAAGAAAAAGTTTAAGAAAATATTGTTAGTTTCGCAGATAACAATTTATTTTAAAAAGAATCTGAATTTCCTAAAAATAAAAATGAATTAAATCTATCACATTAACTGCTAGAAGTTATTTTCGTGGTTTTCAGTAAACAGTTAATAAATTTCATTTATTTTCAATTTTAGATTATTATTTTTTTATTTGAAATAAATTGTTATCTCCGAAACTAAAAATATTTTATTAAACTTTTTTTTCACTATCAATCATTATTTTGTCCTCAGCTATCATTCCATAATTTTATGCGTATAGGTTAAGAATCTCTCTGTATTTATTAACTGCAGTAATTTCACAGTCAATATCGTTACTAAGTAAATACGCACGTTATTTAATAATTGTAATCAATAATTATTTCAAATTGTTAGGTACTAAAATAAAAAATTAGTTCCTTTTTTTATTACATACTCGTAGGAAAAGGATACTGTACAACAAGCACGCAATGCATATTTGCCTCTCGAAACTATATCGTATTATACGTGGAAAATGGGAGTCAGTCCTTGCTAATTGTACAATATACTATTTAACTGTCCAATCTGTCACCAAAAATAATTTAATGCTTATAAATCAACTCATAAATAAATCTATTCTAGAAAATCAATGTATATCGAAATATATCAGTACCTACATACCTGCGAATTTCAGTCCAACCTATGTGTGCTAGGCAAAATATGACGTAAGCCGATCCGAATTTATGTAGTAAAAGTTTAAATAATGAAGGAGTTTTCCGCCATTGAGTTATGGCCTGTTTTCCATACACTTTTGATTTACATTTTTTCGGTAATGCATATAAATCATTTTCGCTCAAATCGTGTTTCCATCCTTTTTTTAATAGTTCCAAAACATACCTGGAAATAAAATAATTAATTATTTGAAATGGTACAGTAATGATCAAAAAGTCTGCACGATATCATATTATAACAATTTTTTATTTATTATTTAAAAAATGGAATTTTTGATAACAGTTTGTGCCTGGTCCAAAACCCAAAAACTAATTAATAAAAATCAAAATACGTGGAGTGTGTTTGACACATTGACAACATCGGTGGTGTGTATACAAATGCCCTTATTGTTTTATTTGGTCAAAGCATAGAAGTCAGAGTATGATTCTGGTTTGTTATTAGTGAATTCAAGTGTAGAAGAGCTATATGGCAAAGCCAATAATGACGATTAAGGATGAAAACATCAAACCAGGTCTATGATGCTGTCAGTGCTTGTAAATCATGGTTTGCAGGGTTTGCAGTCAAAAACACTGGCTTATCAAATTACACAGTTTACCATATTGTCTCAAAAAAACTTGATATGCAAAAATTAATCTTAAGGTAGGTCCCATGAATGTTAACTAATCATTAAACGCGAAAATAGTACTCATTGGTGAATGACTTTTTAAAAATATATCAGCTTGATAAAGAAAATATTCTCAACAGGTTTGTAACTATGCAAAAATCAAAAGACCACCATTACAATCCTGTTACTGAAGTGCAGAGTCAAGAGTGTAGGAGTAAAAACTTAAGGAGTCTTCTCTACCTCAAAAACTTTATTTATTTATTTATTTATTTACGGGCAAGCCCATTTCAATTACAAATTACAATTATAAAAATTAATTAAAATATCACAAATAGTTATGGTGCTGTTGCACAAAGACATCATACATGTCATGCAAACTAGAAACATTTAAAATAATAAAATAATAACATAGGTTAGTCGAAGGTTAAAATAGAGAAAACACACAGTAAAACTGAAAATGGAATATTGAACAGCCTGAGATCATTGTGCAAGTTAGCTAATCTAAGCATTCTTGGAATGCAGCTGTTAAAAGCCTGGTTTGATCTATAAAAAGGTACATAAAATGTTTGCAATTGCCTAGTTAAACGATTTTGAACAAGATTTATTTTTTCAAGAAGTTCAGGACAATTACTTCTACTATTTATAATATTAAATAACAAACTAATGTCTCTTTGTTTTCGCCTAGTTTCCAAGGAGGGGATGTTCAGAAACTGTTGCATGAAATCATATTCACAATAAACACACAATTTAAAAGCTATATGTCTGAGAAAGTTGTGCTGAACACTTTCTATTTTCCTACTATATGTTATATAGTGTAGAGACCAAACAGAAGAGCAGTAGTCAAGGTGAGGTCTGACTAACGAACAATAAAGAACTCTAATTGCAGTTGTGTCAGTAAAATCACGGGTCAGCCTTTTGATAAAACCCAACATTTTCATAGATTTGTTGACAGCAGCAGATATGTGTTGATTGAAGCTTAAAATAGGATCGAGAATAATTCCAAGGTCTTTAATTTGATAAACAGAGTCTAAGATATGACCATTTAAGTTATAGTTAAATGTAGTTGAAGGTAGGTGGGAACGATAAAAATGCATGATATGGCATTTATTGGCATTCAAGTCCATGCCATTTAAAGAACACCATTCTGATAAGATATCGAGGTCAGACTGAATTCTACGGGCATCATCATGGGTTTTAACAATTTGGAAAATGTTTAAGTCATCTGCAAATAATAAAGCTTTGCTGTTGCGGAAACAATAAACTATATCATTAATGAACAAGTTAAATAGTAAGGGGCTTTTAGTTTTTTGGGATGCTTAAGGGGTAATTTTGGTTGACTATCAACAAAACGGATTTTTTCTATTACAGGAAATTATTGTGCCGAATTTATTTCTTAATCGCCTGGTACGTTAAAAGAAAAACGTCATGGAAAATTGCGCAAAGGTATGCTGTTCCAGCTAGACAAAGTTCCAAGTCATACTTCTTGTGTAGGTGCTGCTATTTATCAAGCGCGATTTTAATTTGTAGAACCTCTACCCTATTCGCCAGATTTAGCCACTGGTTAAGGAGTTGGAACAAGGAGAGGGCCTGTCATAAAATCAACAAGGAACTACTTATTGGAGTAACACAGTCAATCCTTCTGTACAGAGCACCACTGTGGGCGCATGCAATGAAAATGAAAGCGTATAGGCAACAGGATACAACGCAAAGTGGCATTAACAGTAGCTTTGTCTTATAGGACAGCATCTAAAGTAAGCGTACAAGGTATAACAGATATCATCCCTATTTATTTGTTGGTGGATGACCGGAAATGGTTATATAGAGTGGTCCGAAGTGAAAGACGTGGCACAATGGACAAGGAGCCTCAGTCCAGATATAAGAGCGTGGACTAGAGTGTAAGCACCGATATACTGACTACTTTCTAACGTAGACACTTACGTTGTTTTATGTGTTTTATGACTTACCTCAAGATATAAAAAAACGAGTAGGCGACACCTGCAAACAGAGGTGATCCACAACACATTATACTTGCATATCCAAGATTGTACGTTAAACGCGTGATGGTAAAAATCAGACTTAGAGAGAAACTAAGCGGAAATGATCTAATTAGCCACATGCTAGAAAGTAAGAAAAAATGGGGCGTGATACACAACTTAATCAAAGAATAATCGGGCGAGGACGACAGAGCAAGAGAAGCAGATAATTAGACCACGGCCGTTCTTGATGACACACTAACCCAGAACAACGTTAAAAAAAGACTGTTCCCGTAACTGAAAGAACATTATTTACATAGAAAAAAATATACGAATGACAATAATGTTGTGTGAGCTGCCGTAAATGAATGGTTTAAAGGCGATGGAAAACATTTCTTTCATGACGCTCATGAAATTCTGAAGCGCTGCATTAGGATTAAGGAAGAATATGCTTAGAAATAGAGTAATTGGCTAAAAACGTTATTTAAATCTTAAAATGTTGTCATATATTTTATGAGTCAAATAAGGAAATACACAAACCGTATCACATGCTGTGAATCAAATCAAATCAAACTATAAAATTTTAAAGTTTGAAATATCAAACCTTTTGATCAAACTAGTTTGAAAGTTTGCATAATTAAATTACTATGGTTTGGAAGTATTTTATTAGTACGAATATAAAAAAAGCTGCCTAATACATGAAAGAAAAATAAAGTATTTATACTTTGTTGAATATTAAAATAGAACAGAAATCTTGATTCACAAATTATAAATGTTGATTTACATTTTCATTATTTTTCTTCACTTTAATGTTGAAATAAAGTCTGTTTAAACTCTATTAGCCGTCCAAGAATTTAAAGACATTAAACATCTAACAAATTCATCATTTAGTCTATTCCTTCGTTTGGTAATTGTTAGAGAAGTTCTTGAAAAAATCCTCTCTATTGATGCCGATGTAGCAGGTATGGCTAAGAAATTTCTAGCCATTTTAGATAATATTGGAAATACAGTCTCGGGCCTCTTCCACCAATTCAATACATTTTCTGAACTATTAGTCAGCCCTGCCTTCAGATAAATATTTTGTAATTTTATATTTCCGGGAATTTTTATCGACTGGGTCTAGGTTAAAACTGTTTTAAAGAAAGCTATTATATCTATATTAAAATTTTCGAAATCTTTACATTGGCTTTGGAGGGCTGATTTTGTTAATAATTCGTTTTGTTGAATAGCCGCATCATCGGCTTCAAAATCATATTCATTTTCATCAGGGATAAATTCTGAACCGCTGGATTGAAATGGTTCAGGCTCGGACATTTCCAAATCACTCATTAGTATTTGTTTCCAAAGAGATAGGTGGTCAGAGTTAGCCTCTGGCTGTGTTTTGTGCCTCCGGCGCTTGGCAAAATATAAAACTAAAACAAATAATCTTACGACGACGCCTCGTCAGCCGGGATCAGAGATAACTGGCCGGGATACTATATCCCTGCTACGTCTCATTGCGTAACCTTGAGAAATTAAAAATGCGGTACGGCCGGTACAGGTACGTAACACTTTTCGTATTTCAAACAGTTTGAAAAAGTTTGATTTCAAATCAAGCTCTCGAATTGATTTTCAAATCAAATCAAACTCTTTTATAAAAAAAATTGATTTTTCAAGTCAAATCAAACTTGACTTGTCAAATCAAACTAGTTTGATTTGATGCATCTCTAGGCACCACTAAATTTTAATATTAAGAGCTCAAATTTTTAGAGGCTTCTTTTTTCACCTTCCTGAAAGTGTTTAGCTTGTTTTTTACTTGAAAAAAAAAGTTTCTAAAAAATGACACCCTAATATATAATAACAGAAATAAATACAGGTGAATCCTATTTGTTTTTTATATATCTTTATAAAGGATGATGTACAATATACGGTACGAAATTTGGTGCATAAACAATTTTGATGTTTTGCTATGGCTACTTGTAAGCCAATAAGACCTACATTTTAAAATTATTTTACAATACATATAATGCCAAAAAAAGTGTAGCATATCAAAGTTATATTTTTTATGGAAAGCCAAATATTTTATTGCATTTATGATCAAACATTATTACTCTCTGTAGTGCTCATAGTAATACATTTAGAATAGAAGTGTTAAACATAAAAAACCTGTTGTCTATAAATGCAAAAAATGTAGGGCGTTGAGCAATTTTGGTACTCAATTTAATTACTTGTATAGAGAATGATTTTTAGCATGCGTTTTTAAAATTTTTTAAATAAAGCTTGTGGTATGCTTTGCTCAAAACCAAGCTCGAAAATGCTTAATTTTTGCTTAAAATGGGCATGAATTTCTTTATGTGAGCGATACATTTACGACCAGTCTGATTTTGTGCCGCCACCCACCCCTCTAAGTCCCTCTTTGCCTTATTTGGGCCTCTTAAACCCTTCCCTTTTCCGATTGCCAAGAATATTCAATGGAATATGTCAACCTGGTAGACATCGTCCATCGTCGTTGAGCGTTGATTTCTTAAATTTAGTAGATATTTCATTCCAGAAAGTTCTCGACCCTGATGATTCGAAATTTCAATTTAAGGCTACTTTGGTTCAATGTACGAAAGTTGTAAAATTTATTAGTGTATTTAATAAGACTAAATTAAATAAACTGATTAAAATAAATAAACGTTACAATGCGTTTAAACCTGACTATCTGAATAATTTTAATTTAATTTTCGTTTACATTTGAATTAATTTAATCTTATTTAAAACTACCTAAGATTTCAATATTATAAATTTATCTACCTATAATTTTATTTACCACCTCATTTAATTGTTCAGTTAGATGTGTATATCCATACTGTTATTCAATGAGATGCTAATTTAACTATGTAAAGGTCAGTACCAACCTCTTTAATTCATTGTGAACTTTATACACATTTTACAAGGTGTTTTTAAACATAAATACTAAAAAAAAATTACCTGAAATAATGTATTGGAAAAGATTATGTAACCGTAAAGGACATCTAGGAAGAAAATGAAATATCGAATTAACAAATTTTAGGATTCTCATTCTATTTGAATTTAATAAAAAACAATTAAAGTTATACCAGTTTATAAGGAACCCAAAAGTTTTAGTACATTTTTGTCATCTTTATTCAATAAAATCATCGGCAAGCATGACAAGACGTGCAGTGTAGTACAATTGAAATAAAATAGGCCCTGTTACGGAAGCTTGCGTTAAACCATCGTCTCATAATAGTACCAAAAATAAAATTAAAATTAAAAAAATTTTGCATACTTACCCAAAAGTGAGATACGAAAAAATATTTGATTTCTCCAACGGACTGGATTTCTCCTTCTCTTTATCCATGGGATCGATGTTCAATAGCTCGTTCTAAATTTTAATTGTTCATGAATCTGAAATAGTAATATTAATTACTTGTAATTTTCTATAAACTGCACGTTTATCATAAACAATAACCAGGGTGATGCATAAATTGATAATCAATGTTTGAGAATGATAATCCCGTCAAACAGTGGCTATAAACAGGACCGTCTGCACGTAAATAAAGAAATATTTAGCTGCGATATTGTGCTAATTTTACGACAGTCTAGTTTTCCTATGGTCATAGAATAAAAGAATATAATTAATTGTTAATATACAAGCCACTAAAATTGACAGAGTAAATAAACATAGGCAATAATAAAAGACTAACAAAAGTTGTAGGATTATAACAGTAGTTTTTCCTATTGACGTTTTGCATCAAGCTTAATTAGAGGCAAACCATCTTATATACAGTGCGCCTAGATTAAATTTTTAATGAAAAAGGTTATATTATTTAAAAAATATATAAATAGACCTTATGCTTTTGACAAAATTGTTGATCTTTAACGTTGAACGAATTTAAATTTAAGCAATAAATAACAAGAAGGATTAAATGTTGTTAATGGGATTAAACTTTTTTAATCTCTTGTCATTAAAAGTAATACTTCAGTGCCTAAAATCAAAGATTAAAAAAAATAAAAAGTTCAACAGCTATCTTTAAAAGTCACTATAACTACTGGTATTATTATTATTATTGTCTTCTTTAAAATTTTTTATTATTATAGGGTCTATTAAATTTTCCTTTACTACATTCATTTTTAAATGAATTTTCCACCTTTTTAATATGATCAATGCATTTTCTCCAATGTTCTCCAATGTTCTCCATTAACATTTAAAACTGCCTTTAAAAACAAATTTCGCACATCAGGTAATTTAAATGTATTGTTTTAAGAAACATTATCTTTTAATTGTGACCAGATCAGCTCAATGGGACTCGTGGTAAGGAGGCAATCTGATAAATTCAATTCCTTTTTCTCGGGTAATCTCGTCTATAATATATTTTTTGAATTTGTTTTTATGTTGCCATGCTATTACGAGTAATTCTGCCTTCAAGGATTTAGGAGGACTAATAATATTTTTTAGAATGAAGTCTTTTTAAAATATCTTTTTTTTTTCATCTTGTTGTAGGTAGTGACTCCTTTAATCGACTGTGATGGGATGCAATATCTGAAGTAATAACGGAGTTGGCTAGAATTTTTTTATAATGTTCTGAAATAACTTTTTAAATATAGTGATAGTATTTTGCTTTCTTTGACTCGAACATTAATACACCATCTGGCAAAAATCCATCAATGCTTCCAATGTGGGTTATTATTAAACAATTTCCTTTTCCTGTTGGATTTTGTAATCTACAAGAGATCTCTTTCACAAAGGCTTGTTTTTTAGTTTTGATGAAGATTTCTTGCCAAATTTTTGTCACTGTATGTGCAGCATTGACCCATGTTTCATCTAAATAAAATACGTATTTATACAGATTCCTTGCGTCCGCTATTTTCCTTGAATAATCATGTCTCTGCGCAATGATTTTGTCTTTCTCTTCTAAAAAGCTGTTTCTGTTACGTTTTTTGTAACAAAAATTAAATATTTTTTGCAGATGAAAATATGATATATTTGGAAGTTTCTATTTCTAAGTGTAATTTTTTTTAGTGTAGGAATTTTAATTCGAAAGAAAAAATAATGTACCATTTGGGGTCGGTTTCTCCATTGGTTCATTTGTGCAATGAACACCCAGTTACATTTCATTAAAACACAGTATTTTAAAATAAACAACATAAAAATAATAATTCAATTTTAATAATTTTATTGTTTTCATAAGTGTTAATATATATTTTTGGGTACGCCACTGCGCTCTGGCTAATCGCGTTTTCGTGGCGCGCTTTTATAAGTAAGCCAGAAGGAGTGAGAAGCGTTCTTAAAAATTTTTAGCTAAAAAGAGATGTCACACGATAACAGATTCCTGAAACGTAGTGAATCAGTTATAAAATAACTTAAATCAGCCTTATTTTCGCAACTTACACCGTGACGTCACAAAGTAGGGCGGGGCCATACCAATCTTTCAAATCATAGATATAGAGAAGCAATGACGGTACTAAACGTGTCTCGCTTTTGCATTACTCTTTTACGACACATGTCAAACTGGAGCTAGTCAGTTTTGGTGATAATAAATGCCATTTTTTAAAATAGCGTGTTTTAAATGATATAAAAACATTTTCATTCCGTCAATCTACAAATATAAAATTATTAACTTAAAATTAATCAAAATATGACGCAAAGTGCTTCCAATTGTCATATCACAAAATAGTCCTTATTCCGTCTCTACCTGCTTCATATTCTATCTTCTGAAACTTTCCAATCAGGCTGTCAATTTCTAACAATCAACATGAGACAATTTTAATTATGAATTGTATTAAAAATTAAGTTAAAATAAAAATGCGACTTTAATAAATCGAAAGTATGTGTGTTAATTCAACGATTGTTACCGAAAAACGTCACAGGTAAAAAAAGACTATTATTTACTATTTCCAAATTACGGTTGTAATAATTATTTTCACAAAGTTGAAAGTAACTACCTACTTGCTTATTAAACTATAGGGCTACTGTTTGTTAATCTGTTAAGTAAACTTACATGAAACTTACTCAGAGGTGAAAAGATTGACCCCTAAACAAAAATAATTTCTCGACCCTGGTACAATTTTATAGGAATAATTGTTTATTTTGTAGGTTGTCCCTTGAAGTTATAGAAAAATGCCCTATATAGTGTCAGATTGATATAATACTGAGAATTTTATTAACTTACATTACAGTTTTTTAAAGACGATATAAAATATAAATATTGCACTGTCCTAAATTAATTCAAGAAACTTAATAGTTTTGTCTATGTTAGGTATGTACCTATATCATGAAGACTAAATTAAATATTTACCGATATCTATCTGGGAGGTAAACTATGTAAAAAGTGCAGTTTTATAAAGGTTATATTTTTAAAATCGGCTCATGGAGACCTTCTCAGGGGTATTCTATACCATGTATAGTGATGTCACAATATGAGTTGATTTAAAAAAAAGAACACTATGTTCAATGTTTAATAAACTTACAAGATAAAATTTAACAGTATTTAACTCTCACGTTAGTCGTACTATTTATAGAGGCATGTTGGAGGTATAGGACATTAGGTATGTCATAGAAAATGTGTTATCAGAATATAGAAATATGTTACAAAAACCAACAGTTCATGTATATTAAAAAAAAATTATTAGTTAGATTATTAGTAAACAATACATATTGTGACAATAATTGAATCCAACTGAATTTCTTGTCGAAATATAATTATTATATGTAAATATAAAACACGAAAAGTGTTCAACCAACATTCAGTTTGCTCTACTAAAAAGCTGACTAGAATGACAACTCAGTTAATCTCCGAAGTACTGAGATACACCTATTAAATAATTTTCAACTCTTTAACTGTATCATTCTTTTAGTATACCCATTTTCTAGGCTATTATATTATTGTTTTAGCATTGATTATATTATTATTCTACTCTTCACACAGTAGTCTGTAAATAGTATTAGGTACAGGTTTACTTTGTCCGATGTCACGGTTTTTGTCTGCACGATAGGTCAAAAACGAAAAATGATATCAACTTGAAAATTTAAGGTAAAAACCAAGCCTATTGTTTAGGAAAAAATCTGATTCAAAATAGGGGAAAAGTTCTAAATTAAAAACGAAAAGCGATATCAACATAAAATGTTTAGTAAACATAAAACTCTATAACAAGAGATAAAGCCCATTGATTTTGAAACAAATCTGAATAAGCCGGCTACGGACGATAAGCGATAATATAATATATATTATAGCTCGGCAATGAGCTATAATATTATATTATATTATTACTGCAGTGGACGAGAATATATATATTTTTTATTTTTCAATATAATAGGCTGATCCAGTGAAATATATAGTGTAGTTGCAAAAATGGCGATGGAGAAAAATTTGTTATTACTAGATACTATTGATAGCTCATCAGAAGATAAATCAGATGCTGAAAGCGACAATGTATTATTATTAGCAATTAGGGTTAGTAACCAAAAAGAAACAATAAGATTCTGGTTATCAAATCACATCAAATACCGAAAAGAACGAGGAGAATTTATACTTTTTAACGAATTAAGTAACGAAAAATTTACAAATTATTTTCGAATGGATTGAACTAATTTTTATGAATTTCATGATTTATTAAAAAATTAAATAGAAAAGCAAAATACAAATACGCGATAAAGCATTAGTTCCTTAGAGCGACTGGTAGTTACTTTAAGGTATGTATATAGATAGATTATTCTTAGTTATAGGAAAGTGATTTTTACTAAAAAACTAAAGAGTTTAAAAAAAATATATTATAAATATGTGTAGAAATAGCAACTAATTTTACACACCTACAAAATTTATTTATCAAATCACGTTCAAAACAAACATGTAAACAACGCCGTTTTGCTTTCTTGGCGGGCAGCGCGAAACAAGAGGGGGAAATATATATCCTAAAAATCGCTCGGAAAGCATATTTCGTCCAACTTTAAATATATCGCCCGGCATCGCCAGGATATAGATATATTATAGCATCAATGCGCGGCGACTTGCACTTTGCACTATAATATATATTATATATTATATTATCGCTTATCGTCCGTAGCCGGCTTAAACAGGGGAGTTAGGGAGGGTTAAAATATAAAAAAAATCAACTTAAAAACGAATAATGATATTAACTTGAATTTTTTAGCAAACATCAAGCTCTATAAGGAGAAGTAGCCATTTAATTTTGAAAAAATAAATCTGATAAAAAATGGGAGTTTAAGGGGGGTTAAAATTAAAAAAGAATCAATCAAGCTCAACAAAGAGATGGGGCCTATTGATTGTGAAAAAAATTGAAAAAAAGTGGGAGGGTTAAGGGAGGTTAAAATATTTAAAATAAATCTAACTTAAAAACAAACAATATCAACTTGAAATTTTTGTAAAATGAGGCTCTACAAGGGGATG